GTCCTCTTCTCCCTTTCCGTCTTTCAGCATAGACTTAACTCCCTTAAGCCCAGACACCTGTTGGGACCTGACCCCCAGTCATTGGTTACCAGTATATCAGGCAATCTGAAATTGCCAGTGATGCCACTGAGATGGCACCTGTCAAAAGAGCAGTGGTTCCATTTCTAGATTGTGGATCTTCAGATAAATTCTGCCATTTTCATTTCACTTCCTGAAAGGCAGGGTCGGCTTGTGAAAAGCTGCTAAACCACATGCTAAATGTGAAATGTCAACCCTCACTCTAAACTTTCCCTGTTCAGAGTATCAGATGAAGACTTCATTGGGTTTTATAGTGGCTTTCTGATTTTTGGTGGTCCATCAAGAAGGGAGTTTGAAAATTATTGTATACTGTTAATGATTGTCTGCCCATGTCCTGCCTGAAATACTATGATTGTTTATGGAAAGTACCTTTAATAAAGCTGGATACAGTTTGGCTTGGAAAACAAAATGGCCAAAAAAATGGACCAGAATGAACTTTTTCAGGACTCTAGAAATGTAACCAAACTCTTAACAGCAACTCAAGGAGCATTTATTCAAGAATAATTTCTGTAAGAACAGTGAGATTTGTGTTAACTTGCCTTAGATCATTCCTCACTCTCTAGCTCAGTAGTTGCCTTGAAAAATAGCCCACATCCCCAACCAGCGCAAGCAGAATGGAGCTGGAACTCCTTCAAAGCCTTGTTCTCAGTGAACTGTCATTATGTCATCTGTCTGGTGGTTCCCTGGAAGACCTCATTAGAAAGGTTTGTCTTTATTTGATCATAATGAAAACTGTCTAGTGCAAAGCCTCTCCACAGAGAGTGTTTTTGGAAAACAATTACGGATAAGTGTTTTAACATGGCAACTGTATGAGGCAATGGATAATAGTTGGGGGGAAAATCCTAATCAAAAAGCTTAATAGGGAATGCTGAGGAATAAGATGCCCACAGGAATTCTGAAACACTCTGATATATCCTTGGGAAACTAGAAGACCATAAGACATATTCCTGGGAATCTGGACTGTCAAGCACATGCATAAGGCAGGCTGTGAGCATGGTCACAAAAGACCTGCTAAGTCCAGAAACTCTCACACCTGGCTGATCTTGAGGCTCTGCACTAGCAAGAAGTGAAAGGTAAGGTATAGCTGTTAACTGTCTGGCTGTGGTATGAGTGATATTAACTGTCTGAGTGCTGAAGGTATGCCCCAACATGTACACAGAGCCCCTTGGCAAAAACTAGGAGAGACTTATCAGTTCCAAGAATTTAAGTAAATCTCCATTTAATCATTAGCTGATCAGTAAGCTAACCAAGGAGAGACTTCAGTGAGCACACATGACAAATAATGTAGGACTTTACAGAATAAGTTAAAAAAAGTCACTAAATAATAAATAGCAACTACTCTAACAAGCAGCAGTAACACCAAATCCTGGGAGCATGGATCTGATTTTCAGAATTGCTACATTATATTATTTAAAATATTCAATTTTCAACAAAAATTTACAAAAGATGCAAGGAAACAAAGTATGGCCCATATACAGGGAGAAAAAAAAAGAAAGAAACAGAAATTGTCCCTGAGAAAGCCCAGACGTTAGACTCACTAGAAAAAGATTTTTTTTTTTTTGGTATAGATGGGGT